TTCGGTTGGTTACTTCCGTTTCCTCTGTAAAATCCTAATTTCGTAAAGAGACAAAGTGAAGAAAAAAAAAAAAAGCCTTCGTAAATGCGTGAGAGATTTTTTTTTTCTTTTTTTTTACTCCGAATAAAAAAATTTTTCATCCGAAAAATAAAAAGTGGAAGAAGAAGAAGAAAAAAAAATGGCAGGCTTTTAAAATTAAAGAGAAAAGAAAAAGTGGTAGAAGAAAAAAAAAAAAAACAAATATTCGAGTTGACATTTTAATAAAATAAAAAATAAAAATTTATACAAATTGTAAATTTTTTTTATTTTCGAGAAAAATCATCATTAATAAACTACATGATAAACAATAAAAAGAATGTAGAAAGAGAGAGAGAGAGAGAGAGAGAGAGAGAGAGAGAGAGAGAGAGAGAGAGAGAGAGAAAGAGAAAAGAAAGAGAGAGAGAAACAGTAAAAAATAAAGAAAGAGAAAGCGAGAGAAAGAAATAAAAAAAGAGAGAGAAAAGAAAAAGAAATATTACAAAAAAAGAAAGAAAAAGGTGTGCGAATATATATAAGCGGGGAGAAACAGAGGGAGAGAGAGAGAAAGAGAGAGAGAGAGAGTGAGAAGTATAAAAAGAAACAAAGAGAGAGAGAGAGAGAGAGAAAAATAAATAAATGAAATGAAAATTGAATCGAACGCATTCACATTCAAACGCTCTTATTCGAAAAAAAATTTGCAAAATCATGTTTTTCCCCGTACGTAGGGTTAAAGGTCACGGAGAGAAAAGATTAAACTTCAATAAGCTTTACCTCTCTCTCTCTCTCGAATAATAATAATAATAATAATAATAATAATAATAATAATAATAATAATAATAATAATAATAATAATAATAATAATCATTAACGTATTGAATGTCACGCAATATCATCATCTGCTGTTTTTTTTTTTTTTTTTTTGGTTTTTTTCTCGCATATGTTTTTAACATGAAAAAAAATAATTTTAACAATAATAATAATAATAATAAACGAAAATTAATCAACTTTAACAATAATAATAACAATAATAATAATAATAATAATAATAATCGTTCAAAAAATAAAACTATGTTAAATATAAATGACGGAGGGGAGGAAAAAAATAGAAAAAATTTTCCCGGAAAATAAAAATAGAAAATTGTTTCGACGAAAAAAAAAAAAAATCATGAACTTATTGATTATCGATCGATTTCAATACAAAAAAAAAATTTCGTGAATAATTAATAAACGACAAAATGAAAAAGACAAAGACAGACAAATTTACAAACACGAACTTAAAATAAAGGGATATTAAAAAATAAATAAATTTACGTATACATAAGTATTCGATCAATTCTATAAATAACACGATAAATTATACGTCGTTAAGAAAATAACTTGGTGACAAAATACGTGTCACTAGAATACAATATAAATATTTAAATTTTACCGCCATTTTTCATAATTTTTTTTTTTTTTTTTTTAAAAACAAACGAATCGTCGAGCTGTGACGTCATCATTTATTCGACCCGACGGTAAACTCGACTTTAAGTGAAAATCATTATTAAATAAAAAAAAATAAAAAGAAATCATTACGCGACTTAGTTTAAAAATAAAAAATAAAAAATAAAAATGGCGGTGATAATAAAATTTAAAAAAAAAAAAAACACTTTACGATACGTAAAATAAAAAATATAAAAAAAACTATTTAAATCCCTCCTCTCACCCCTCTTCTCCCCTCACCTATTTTTATTTAAAAATAAAAAAAAAAATTCTTTTTACTTCCGTCGTTTATTTCCATTTTATTTTAAAACCGTAATCATTCGTTCATTCATTCAATCATTCATTCCCTCATTTATTTATTTATTTATTCAATCAATCAATATCATTCAATCATTTATTCATTAATTTATTTATTCAATCATTCAATCAATCATTTATTCAGTCATTTATTTATTTATTCATTCACTCATTCATTTATTCATTCACCTATTCAATTATTCATTCATTCAATCATTCAATCAATCAATCATTTAATTATTCATTCAATCACTCATTCAGTAATTCATTCATTCACACACTCATTGCCTCACCCATTTATTCATTCATTCATTCACTTATCATTCTTCTCCAGGATTTAAAAACCCAACAATTAAATTCATCACCGTATAAATTTAAATAATAATAATAATAATAATAATAATAATAATAATAATAATAATAATAATAATAATAATAATCATTACGACCTGGCTGGATATATGGATGGATGGCTGGACGTACGAATGACTGACTGACTGAACAACTCGCTGAACAATTCGGCGATTTTTTTTTTTTTGCCAAATCAAACCTTTAAAAAAAAATAAATAAATAACCAAATAAACGAATCATTATTTATTTACGTCATAGAGTAAATAAACCATGAAATCGTGGTAATTGATTAATTAATAAGATAATTAACTAAATTTCAATCATTCTACTCATATTAAAAAAATTCTACATTATCAATAACAATAAATAAATAAATAAATAAAATTTGTGCAATTAAATAATCAAAAAAAATTATTTAATGATGATAATAATAATAATAATAATAATAATAATAATAATAATAATAATAATAATAATAATAAAATGATAACTAAAAGCAGTAAAAGAGAGCGAGAGAGAAAAAACAAAAAAGCATTTTTTAATTAATTAATTAATCGTTTCGCGTTTTTATTGTCTCATTATTATTATCAACGCGGGTGATTCAAAAAATAAATAAATAAATCAAACAAAAAGTAACTTTTTGAACCTACCTTCGCACAAAATAAGCTGCCATAATTATTTTACAATAAAAAAAAAATTTTTTTAATTTTTAAATGTGAAAGAAAAAAATGAAAAAAAAAATGGCGGAACCATCATTTTCTTTTTTTTTCATTTTTTTTTTTGTCGTCGAGCAAAATAATTTTTTTTCTGTACAATTAAAATATGACGTCATCCCTCGCGATGATGATGATGATAATAATAACGATAACGTAATGACGACAGTCACGATCGAATTTAATAAATAATTTATTCTTTTAAAAAAATTTTTTTTCTCCATCGATTTCAGAATTTTTTAAAAAAAAAAAAAAAGAAAAAAAACGCGATGACGTCATTTGGAAAATTTGACTTTTTAGTTGGGACGAACGGTGGGGCGGGGAAGAGAGTGGGAGATTGTGGGAAACACGCGGGGAGGGAGGAAGGGGAGGAATGGTAAAATCGATAATTTTTTAATTAATTTTTTACCCATGCGGTTGAACAAAGTAATTTTTTTTAAAACGTTTATTACGTCACAGGTAATAAGGTACGATAACAAGGATACTACGACTTACAGATTATCTACTAATTTTTTTTTTTTGACGTAAAAAATGATGACGTAACGGAAAAGGAAGAGAGTGGGGGAATGGGAGACGTTTGGATTTATGTGGGAAAAAAAATTTTTTTTTTATGAATTTAAATTACGAAGAAAAAAATTAAAAAGGGAAACTGGAGACTGGAAAAAAAAAAACGTTTCAAGAGATGAAGTGGAAGAAGATAAAATAAAAAAAAAGGTAAAAAGCGGAGGGGGGATGGGGGGCACGATGTGAGATAAAATTAAAAAATGTGGGAAATTAATTTTTTGTTGTAAAAAAAAAAAAAAAAAAATTCTGTCAAATATTATCGACAAAAAAAAAAAAAACAGGAAGTTATGAAAATGATTAAAAAAAAATTTTTTCCAGTTTGGTCGTTCCAGATTTTTCCCCCTTCTTCTCTCTTCCCCTCGTTCATTCCCATCATTAATTGCAAACGTTCTCCATTTTTCCCTCCCCAGATAATTTATCATTCATCAATTTTTTTTTTATAACCGATTTTCGATTATTAACATAAATCAAAAAAAAATTTTTAATGTCTCCTCAATATTTCAACGCCCCCCTTCGAAATCAACTTTAACGACCTTTTTTCAACATGTCTGTACCTGAAAATCGTCAAATTTTCAATTTAAAAAAATTATTTTGCTCTTTTTCTTGTATCATAAACGAAAAAAAAATTAGCAAAAGCTTCAAAACATAAAAAAAAAAAAATTAAAGAAAGCAATAAAAAAACAAACAAAAAAACTAATTTTTACAAAATATCGTTCATTCAATCAAAATAATAATAATAATGATAAAGATTAATAATAATAATAATAAGTGAAAGAAGGTAAAAGTTTGTACCTTGAGCACCTGGGGAGAGTTGCAAAGAAAAACAGAAAACATGTATATTAGTTCTCATATATATATAACGGTGTGTATAAACAATTTTTAAAAAAAACAATAAAAGGTTTAGTTAGTTACACGTTAAAAAAAAAATCATGGGGAGGGGGGGTGGGAGTACGTTAAGGCGGCACGGTGTGGGGGGCATCAATTTCGATGACGAGCGAGTTCGTTGAAATTAAAAAAAAAAAAAATTCCCCCGTAAAAAATAAAAACAAAAAAAAAATTTATGCCGAGCGAAATATTTTCATCGTGGCAGGAGAAATCGTCACGCATAATCGATAATATTTTACTTTTGTTTTGTTTTTTTAATTCCAAAACGGAATGTTCGTGATTGATTGATTGATTGAAAAATTAAAATTTTTAATGGAAACGATTTTCGGAAGTTCTAAAAAAAAAATTAATCTTTTACATATTTAATCCTTGATCGAAGGCCATTTTGTGTTTCTTCTCAAGGTACACACACGCACACACACGGAACAATATTTATACCTAGCGGAAATTCCTAATTAGCCATTTTGTTTTTTTTTAAAATTAAGATGGTGGGTGGGGGGCAGTACGTGATGGTATTAATTAGTATTAGCAGGTTTTTTTTTAGTACTCATTATTATTTACTCTCTAGCAAAAACTAATACAAACTAATACAATCCTCCTGTAAAAACAAAAATTAATACAACCTACTAATTATTATTATTATCGATCGGCGCACGTGTTTTTATGCACACGTGTTACCGCACACGTGTGCAAATTTTTTTTTGAATTTTCCCCGCGAAAATTGACTTAGTGGAGAAAGAAAAAAAAAGTAACGAGTCGGTTATAAATTTTTTGACAAGTTTTATGCGGAAAACTGGAGAAAAAATTAAAAAGTTTAACGACCTTTGACCTGACGTGACCTTGACTTGGTGTCATGTTTTCTTTAACGTACCGCTGTGGTGTGGTAAAATAATTTTTTTTTTTTTTAATTTTCCGCGCCATTTGTTTTTTATTATTATTATTTTTTTTCGGTTATGGTCGTTGTCATCGTCGTCGTACTTGTTTGAATCACATCGACAGAACATTAAAAACATGAAAGCTTTAGAAGAAAGTTAAAAGGGGGCGGGTGGGGCGTGGCAGGGGTAGTGACGACGACGACAAGGGTGGGAGTAAAAATGGGAGTGGGGGGTGGATAGGGTAATAGGCCAAACATTACATGCACCAGTAAACATCGTCTCGCGTTTTTTCTCATCGACCACGTCGAAAAATAACGGATATGGCCGTTTTCTTTTTTTTGTGGGGCTTGGGCGGGGGAGGGGGAAACGGGGAATCATACGAAATTCGAAAGCAAAAATTAAACGAAATCCTTTTATTATTATTACTATTTTTTTTCGTTAATAACAATAATAATAAAATAAAATGTGAAATTATAAAATTTTTTTCGCGTTTTTACGAAATTCGTCGCGAATGTTTTCTTTATTTTTTTTTTGCTACGATTCAGATAAATTTTTTCGTTTTTTCAACCATAGCAAAATAAAATGGTTTTCGCGATTCGTCGTTTAAACTAATTTTTAAGTTAAAATTTTAAGAAAAGGGAAAGGGAAGAAGAAAATTTCGCTGAAAAAAAAAACATTTTTTTTTTCTATCGTTAACTTTTGCTTTCGTTTTTCGTGCGTAAAATAAATATAAATTTATTTTATTTTTGCTACCGTTAAATTGTTTTTAGTTTAAGTATTAGTATTTCTTTTATTTTCTACCCCGAATCAACAATAAAAATTTTTTTTTTTAAAAGTCGTTCAAACGTTCGATTCGCACCTGGTTTCTATATAAATTTTTTTTTTCTTTTTTTTTTTTTATTTAATTTAAAAAGTGTTTTTTTTTTTTTTTACGCGACAAAAAAAACGTATACAAGACGATAATAATAATAATAATAATAATAAATGACGTCGTAAAATAATACTTTTAAATAATAATAATAATAATAATGGTCGTTATTTACGATAACAATTAATGTTTGCTTTAAAATTCGAAAGTTTTTATTTTTTTTTTATTTACCTCGTTAAAAAAAAATTCTCTCGCAAAAAAAAAAAAAATGGCCGATCGATACAAGCAGAAGAAAACTAAAGTTTTTTTTTTTTATTCCTATTTAAAATTTTTCCATTCCATTTTTTTTATTTATCCGAATAGAAGAAGAAGAAGAAATCAATAAAGAAAACCTCAGTTATAAATCTTTTCTATTTCAATTTAACTTTTTAAAATCCAAGAAATAGAATTTCTATTTAAACTTTCTCCCCCCCCCCCACTTTCTCTTTCTCGAAAAGAAAAAAAACTTTCTTTGATCATCTTATGTTTCGGCTTTTATTATTAGAAATAAAAAGAAAGAGAGAGAGAGAGGGAGAGATTACAAGGTAGGACAGCCATTTTGTGAAAATTTAAATTTAAATTTAAAAAAAAATATTTTAAACGCGTATAAATATACAACGTAAAGGTCATGTATTTTTATTTTTTTGCTATTTTATGTTGGTATTATTGATTAATAAAATTTTATTAATTAAAATTTTAAAAAATTACCACGGATTTAATTCGAAATTGATTTTTTTTTCCGTTTCGTTTCGTATCGTTAAACAATCGAATAAATCGATTAATCGATAAAATTTTTATTTATTTTAATAACGATATTAATCAATCAAATCTCCCTTTACCCCCCTCCCCATCCCCCCTCCATTCCTCCCCTTTTTTTTAACAAAAAAATTTCGATTTTAATCGAATGAGAAAGACAGAGAGAGAGAGAATAAAAAAAAAATAACCGATCGCTCAATCATTTTATAATTGCTTGTCTTTTTCTGTCTCTCTCACACACACACACACACACTCGTTTGTGTTTGTTTGTGCACAAACTTTTACGAGACAAAAAAATTTTTTTTTTATTGGCTATTTCGAATAAAATAAAATAAAAAAACTTTTGGCATCGAATCTCGTCTGCTGCCACGTCATAAATTAAATATTTAGTAAAGAAAAAAGAAGAAAGAGGACGTGGAAGACGGGAAATCTTTTTAACAAAAAGAAAAATGTAAACGTTGTAACAATAATAATAATAAATGTGACGTCACGAATGACGTCACATTAAAATATTTTTGGCAATCGTTAAATTGACCACCTGTATATATTATTATTATTATTGTTATTTGAATATTTAAACAATGAAACATATAAACATAAATTTTTTTTTTTTTTTTTACCGGAAAACATACTCAACAGGTTTTTATTTTTTTTAATATAAATTTTTGTCGCGTATAATTTATTTTCCCCCCCGCCCCCCGTTAAAAAACTTTCGAATTTTGTCGCACGAAAAACAATTATTATTATTATTATTATTATTTGGTAAATTTTTAATGCGAATCTTTTATGAAAAATAATGGCGAACGACTCAAAAAAAAAAAATTTTTTGTGGAAAATTAAGTCGGATGGGTTTTAAGGCGCGTTATTACGACGGAGGGAATCGTTAAGTTGGCCACACTGAAAGAGAAAATAAAGAAACGAAAAGAAATAATAATGATGTGAATTTATTACAATACATACCAATTCGGAAACGAGTGGTATCGATTTCCTCCTGGGTCGTATATCCGGCATGCTGTCGATATTGCTGTAAAATGGATTGTCTCCTGGATGCCTGAAAATACAAAAAAAAAAAAGGAAAATTCAATTTAAATCTTATTAATTATTAACCGATTCATTCAAACTAAAAAAAATTATTAATTATTATTATTATTAACATTTAAGTATTTTAAAACCGCAAAGGGATGTGGGGGGAAAGGAGGGGAAATAGGGCGTAGAAAAAAAAAGAGGAACTCGTAACGACTAAAAGAAAATTTTTCTCGTCTCCGTTTTTCTCTATTTTTCCTCCTACCGCAAAAAAATAACATTTAGCAAATTATTATTATTATTATTTAATTAAAACGACGACGAAAATTTTCATTTGTTGCGTCATCAATTTTAAAAAACAAAATTTTCATCTACAGACGACAAAAAAAAAAATTTATTTTTATTTATAAAAATATCAAATCGTCATCAATAATTTATTTTAACGGAGATAAATAATAATGATGATGATGATGATGGGGATGATGATGATAATAATAATACA